CCGTGAGCACATGACTTAACTTCCCAGAGGGGATAATGAACGCTCACAGGCTGTGGTGAGGATTAAAGGAGGCTTCTGTAAGACACCTAGCCCAGGGCACGGAGACAGAAGGAGCTGGCAAAGCGAGAGCTCCTCTGACGCGGGTACTTCCTGGGACATCCTTGCAGGGCAGACAAGTGTGGATGGACAGGAGCAGAGTGTCCTTGTGGGGAGCAGGATGGGGATGCTGCCCGGGAACCTGGGCATCACCCAGAGTCCCCCCGACTCTGCTGCAGGCTCTAGATGGACACAAGTGAGGGAGCTGACACTTTGTTCTAAGGAAGAGAACTTTCTAGGCTGCCTCTGGGAAGTAACGTCCTTTCAGTCTCTTTAGAAACCACTGTTTTTAAAAAAACTTTTTGTGTATGGAGGTGCTGGGGTTTGAACCCAGGACCTCACGCATGCTAAGCACACACTCTATCACTGAGCTATGCCCACTCCCTGCCAAAATGCCACTGTTAATCTGAGGTTTCTCTTCCTCCTCCCTTCTTTCCCTCTCACTGGAAAAGACACAAAGAACCCCCAGAGACACCAGTCTCCCTAAACACCATCCTGAGTTGTGACCCACATTGAATCACCAACCATTTCAGGAAAACCCTTCCTTCACTTTCCATCTCTCTCCTTTCAGAAAGGTTAGTGACAGCCTGAGGGATAAAGAGGCAACTGGAGGTCACTACATGGGAGGAGAGAAAGGTAAGAGATAGGGCTTTCTTCATCTGGGGGGTTCGGCTCACCCCACAGATCCTCCTCCTCCATCCTCTCAGCTCTACTGATGGACTTGTGCAACCACAGTTACATGGTCCCCTCACTCCTCGTCTCCTGCTGTTTCTGTACGTCCTCCCCACCCCCATCCCAGGCCCCGGGGTGGGCTGACTCTGGCCTTCCACAAAGGTCTGTTTTCTCGGCAGCAGCAATAGGGATCTCCTCTCCAAAGAGCCCCCAGCAAAACTAGGGACCCCACCCTGGAGCCAGGGTGGAGGAGGGGTGTCGGTGTGAATTACTCAGCAGTGCTGAGACGTCACACCCACAGAGCATGCTTGCCTCCTTCATCCTGGAGGCTGGACAGAGGGTCCCCCTACATTCCACCCATCATCAGTCACTGATTCCCTTCCAGCCACCAAGCAGCCAGCCCTGTGCCACCCAGCTCGATGCCCCGACAAGAGCCTTGACATCTCAGCCTGGCACACACGCTCCTTGGTGCAGAGCTGCCCTGGCAGGTGCCAGCCCTCTAGGGCAGAACACCGACCTCGCCCTGACCAGGGGCCTCAGGTGGCTGGGGAGTGATGTTAAGCTGAGTCCGGTTAGACTCTGGTCTGGCCAGGTTCCCACCAGCCCAATGCTAGATCAGGTAAGGGTGCAGGTGGGACAGCCCAGCAGTCCTCAGCACCCCACAAAAGACCTCACCCCTGTTCCCTTCCCCTGTGAGGACAGAGACGAGCACACTACCTCCAGAAGATGAACTGCCCCGGGGAAGCCATGGCGAGGGGAAGGGACCCTTCCCGCAGCGCGCTGGATGCGGGGGTGAGTGGTGCTGCCGCTGCCCTCCTGGAGCCGTGACTCACAGCCAGCGCGGGTGCGCTGGCCTTAAATAGTGGGCTCCCGGGAGTGGCTGGTGCAGCTGTGGATAGCTCAGGTATGAGGAAACGGCGCTGCTGTGCAGAAGTCCCTGCAGGCACAGAGGCCGCCCTTCCCAGCCAGGGACGCCAGGCACGCGGAGATGCCTTGCCAAGACTCGACCTCCTTCCCAGGCCCCCGGTTCCAGGGCTTGTGTTCACACACGTCTCCTCCTGACTGCGAAAGGGAGCACTGGGGCGGGAGAGCTCATCCCCACTGAACGGGGAGGCTGGGAGGACTTCCTGTGGCAGCTGATGCTCTGACAGAGGCTGGCTCGTCACAGGGGGGGTCTCTCGCGGAGGACGCTCTTGCTGAGAAAGGCTGTGAGCTGAAATGACAAGACTGCTGAGTCTGTCACTCAAGACAGCCTGCGTCGGGCCCCGGGGCCTGCCCAGCTGGACGGGCAGGTCTCTGCTGGCTTCATTTCAGTGAATGGGTGAGAGGGCCCACTCTGCCCACCTCCCAACTCATCTGAGACCAGAACGACACGGAATGTGCATTACATAGAAGCTACTGCTGTGGGGTGACGGGTTAGAACACCCAGCACTCAGATTTCCAGCGGCACAGGAAGTCTATGATGTAAAGCTCGCTCTCTCGTATTGTTTCCTCCATCCCTCCACCCCCCGGGGGGCATCCTGGATGGTACACACCCACTGACTGGCAGACTGGTTCACGAGCTGCTGGCTGACAGACTGTGTTTATTTCGGGGCAGAGATGCCCCAGGACTTCAGCAGAATGAGTCCTGTGCTGGCGCACGCGCTGCTGGAATAAGCACGGAGTACAGCCAAGGAAGGAAGGGAGAACCGGGTGGCGGGGAGAAGACGGCAGAGGAGAGGGTCATTTCACAGTGGGAAGAGCTTTAGAGTCAACCAGAGCCAGCTCCAAATCCTGAGTTCGTAATTAAAGTTCATGTGACTTTGGGGAAATTGCTTTACTTTTCTTCAAGGCATCTTTTACTGAGTTAGAGCGCGAAGTGCCTGAGGGGGTCCACATAATTTTCCTTCCCTCAGAGTAAGTAAAGGAGTGACACCTGGGACTCAGGAGGTGCCCACGCTAACTGGATCCCTCCCCAGGCCTGGGGAGGCTGAAGGAAGTGGGAGCAGTGACTTTAATCATCTCTATACATCTGATCCACCCTCAAGGTGCAAGGTTTCTGCCCAGCTCCTTAATAAGCCTTAAAGAGAGCAGCCTTACCTCAGACACCTCAGAGCAGGGCCATTGAGTCTGTCTCCTCCAGCCATCCATCAGCAGTACAGGGTGGGCTAAGGATGGCCTGGAGGAGAAACCAAGCTGATGCACTGAGAGGTAAAGTGACCGACAAGCAGCTCCTGTCAGGAGAGCGGGGTGAGCACCACCTGGCAGGGAGGTAGAGCTCACAGCATCCTGCTGCCTCTGCAGAAGCAAGCAGACGTCGTCTGGTTCTGACACCAAAACCCAAAGAGTGATGCACATGAAATAACAGGAAAATCATGGCAAAGCAACAGGCCAATACTGAAAAAAAAAAAAGAAGAAGAAGAAGAAGAATATAAAGGTGTGTGTGGAGAGAGAGAGAATTTGAAACATTTATCTCTCCAGGATTTGGGAGCCTCCCTTGACACTTTCTTTGCATGTGTCCCCTGGGAGACCTTGTCCACTCCTGTTTCAACCGGCCCCTCTGCAGATGGGGATATCTGCACCCCCAGCCCACGCTCCCTGAGTGAGCTCTGGCCCCACACATCCAGCTGCTTCGTGGAATCTCACCCTCTGTCCTGCAGGGACCACAAAATCGAACATGTCCACGCTGGAATGCACCCTCGTCCATCTCTAAGCCCGCTGCCCCTCCTGCGTACACCCCTTGGAAACGGCAGATTGCTCAAATCAGAACCCTGGAAGTCGCCCTCTCCTGGCTCTCCCCCTAGCCCCTATACCCCCGTGCACCCCAAGTCTCCTGATTTGTCCTGCTTGTATCAGTTTGCTCTGGTCGCCACAATGGAGCACCACGGCCTGGGTGGTTGACACAAGAGAACTTATTTTCTCGCAGTTCTGGAGGCTGAAGTCCAAGATTGTGGTGTCAGGAGGGTGAGGTTCTTCTGAGGCCTCTCTCCTTGGCTTGTAGACGGCCGCCTTTGCCCTGTGTCTTCACACGATCTCCTTTCTGTATGTCTCTGTGCCCACATCTTACGCAGCAGCCACACAGGATTGAGTCCACCCTAATGGCCTCTTTAAAGACCCTAACATCAAATACAGTCACATTTTGAGATACTGGGGGTTAGGACTTCGACATACAAATTTTTTTTCAGGGGAGGACACATTTCAGCTCAGAATACCCCTTTATGCCTTCCAAATCCATCTGCCTCTCTCTACCCCTAACAGTAATTCCACCCTCCTCATTTCCCATTTGAGGGGAATATTAAACAGTCTCCTATTTCACTGTCCTGCCCTCAGTCTGCCCCTGTAAGTGCCAGTCTACCTACATTTTGCTAGAGTGATTTTCCTAAAATGCCAGTCTGATCAGATCACTTCCTGGGGTAAAATGGTTGGTGGTTCCCCCGAACCTTTGGTCTGACCTCTGCCGACCCCTCCAGATTTTGCTCTCACAGCCCTGCTTCTCACTCTGCGTCCTAGGTGTGCGGAGCCGCTGCGGGTTCCCCCAGAACGCCGCACTCTCCCAAGCCGCCTTTGTACCTGTTGCTCTGTCTGCCTGGAGTCCAGCTCCTGCCTTTCCCTTGTTTGTGATCAACTCTATGGGAAACTGTCCCCGACACTTCAAGCTGACCGGTGCCATACTCTGGGCTCCCACATGAACCTCATGCCTACTTCTGCATTCCTAAGTTATTTTTTTTTAGAGGGGAGGTAATTAGGTTTACTTATTCATTCATTTGTTTGTCGTTGTTATTATTTTTAATGGAGGTACCAGAGACTGAACCGAGGACCTCGTGTCTGCTAAGCCCTGAGCTGTACCCTCCCCACTGTGTTCCTAAATTACGACTACTGATCTCTCTGACTCTTTCACTAGACACTCCTTAAAAACAGAAACGGCATCTTGTTCATGTTTGTATTTCACACCAGCATAAGGCACACACAGAGTCAGGAGTGTGACATGTTTGTGGAATAAATTCACGATTTTCTTTCTCAGCACACAATGGGAGTACCATTTCCTGTTTGTTCGTCTGTCTCATCGCTAGTCTGTGAACTCCTGGAGGATAAAAGTGATGCCTCATTCATCTTTGTGTCAAGGGTCCTAGCACCATGTCTGACACATACACAGGTCATGGTAATATTTGATGGATGGGTGAGCAGGGGTCAGCTTGGGGTGTGATCCATCAGACACTTTCTGGAAGAGGTGCCTTGTGAGCTGGATCGACGCTGTTAGAAGCAGGAGAGAACACGTTGCATTTGAGATGGAAGAACAGTTTAGAGTTAGGACAAAAGGTAAAGCAGGTGTGTGAAACAAATGCGAAATCTGTTTTCCCCTTGTCGATCTTGGGAGAGAAAGAGAGAGAGAGAGACAAAATCAAGATGAACTTAAAGTATCTAGAACTGAAAGGTCTTTTCATGAATTAAAAACCTTTTTTTTTAATTCGAGCAGCCCAGTCACCTGGGGCTCTATTCTCTCATTGAATATCTTTACACTTCCCTGGGCACCAGCTTAAAGTTCCTTCACAGTCTCCTATCCTGGTTGTTAGAAGAGCAGCCACATACATGTGGGGCTTTGCACTTTTCACAAAAGGCTGTGAGATCACGTGATCCTGACCACACCCCTATGGGGTGAGATTTACCAATGGGAACCCGAGTGTCAGGGATTAAGGGAGTCTGTTCAAGGTCAATCATTTGAGTTTTCCCAGGCCTACTTGCACGTGTGTATGAAAGGAACAATGAGAGTGACCATAACAAAGCTTGCATCAGCTCCCAAGCCTTGCATCTAAAGGCGGAACCTCCGGCAGTCTGCAAGCTTTACCTTTGAGAGTCTCAGGACGAGTTACAAACGTTCTCAGAAAAGCCAACTGTGGAAGAGTCTTCCACGAGGGCCCCCAAGGAATCATGCCTTCTTGGATCTAAGCCTCAGTGCAGTCCCTTCCCGCTCTGACTCTGGGCTGGACACTGGGATGTTAACAAGTGTGATGCGGGCAGAGGCCCGAAAGGTAAGCGCGCGTTTGGGATTGCCTCTCTGGCTGCCGAAGGCTCTTCCACCACCTCGTGATAAAGCCTCTGGCACAGAGACGAGCCCTCCCAGCCGAGAGCCCGACATCCCCCAGCCTCCTGACCACAGCCCGTGAATGACCTCGGGTGACGAGAATCGCCCAGCTGAGTCCCGCCCAAATTGCTGACCCACGTAAGGAACAAACAAAATGCTTGTTGTTCTAAGCCGCTATTTCTGGGGTGGTTTGTTACATAAGCAGTAGCTACACTGTTCTTTCCTCTCATTCTGCTTGCTCTCTGGTGGTCACTGCCTCTGAGGTCACTTCCGAAGACATCTCACCATTATCACTGGTGCTGGGGACCTGCTAAGCCACCCTCATATCTACAGCCAAAGTGCTGGCTTCTACACTGCAGTGGTGTTCCACGGAGCCCCCAGAAGACCACGACGTGTTACACACACGCACACACATACACACACACACACAGAATTTAAAATTTTTAAAAAGGGTTTTTGTTGTTGTTGCTCTTGTTGCTGAGTCTGCCTTCAGGAAGGAAATACCTGCCGGAATCAGCTACACCCACACCTCTGAACTTTTTCGTCAATATTTCAGGCTTTCTCTTACACACTGGTCGACTCGAAAACCTGCTCGGAGAAAAACCTTGTTGTTAGCAGGACTGTGGAATCATACGATGCTCTGCTAGAGGCGAAGAGATTTCACGATACTCAGCAGAGCTGGGAAGAGCAGACCTTGTGGTCTTAATATAGCAGACTTCAAAAAGGCTAATTGACAGGAACGCTGACGTCTAGTTGAATATTAAGGAGCTTTCATTTCGTTTGAAGCTCTGACTCCCTCTTGCTGGCTGTTAGTGCTCTCTCAGCAGGGAAGGGCTGGCTGCCTCATCACCGGCCATGCTGGCATCTGCCTCATCCTCAGCCATGGGTTCCTGGCAGCCCTGCCCGTCAGTTCACCAGTTTACAAGTTTAGATGGACCCTGC